GTTATACTGTACAGTATTCTGCAGACCACTACTTGCAAATGGGAAAATATATTGATCATATTGTCTTAGTTGCATATTGTGTACCTAGTACCTGTAGGTATAGGCTTTAACAATTGAATATCTTTTCAATAATATGAAAGAAGTTGAAGTAACTTGCAGGCACTCTCCTCTGCAGAGGCTTTTGAGTCAGGGGTGTGTGGGCAGCTGCATGAGTTGCTCCACCCACCTTGATGCCCCCCCCCCCAATATTATCTCTTGTTATCCCATGTTCCCCATATATAACCCTACCGTGCCGTTTTTATTTTAATTTATAGAAGCCTCTGCAGAGACTGACTTACAGGTGTAATGATTATTCCTCATTCCCACAAACTGTCACTTATGCTTTCTATGTTGTACTGTATAGGAACACATAGAATTTTCTTAATTATTGGTGTACCTGTATGGAAATTATGACAAGTGTACGCACAGTATAGACATTGACAATTGATATATATTGGGTTACCCTTACATGGTTTCTTTTTATCTAGAGCAAGAACAAACATGAAATAGTTCAATGCATACTTGGTCATTTTGTTCTTAACAAAAGGAAAGTGGCTCTAGACCAACTTAAGGAGGGTCTTCAAACCCTTGGCACTTTAGATATGATTGCTAAGCACCCGGATGTTATGGCTCCAATGTTCATTTGGATGGAGAAAGCACTCAATCCTGATTCTGTCAAGAGTAAACTGAGGTTTCCCCCTTTTGATGGAGACCATGTTGTTGAAGAAATGCTACAGTATTTTATTGATGAAAGCAGTGATCAGGGTAGTGTACCAGTATTCAAAATCATTTTGGTGGTGTTTATTATAATGATCACAGTAAATATAGTGTAATCACTATTGTAGGTTACCATATGTACATATTTGCACTGCATGACAGAGCAAGTTATATGATCATTTCCATCCTGTACCAAGAGTCCTGAACTACAAATTGCCTATTCTATAGAACTTCAACAATTTTTGTGCTTCGTTACTGGGACTTCAAGTCTGGCATGTGTGGATGAAATTAATGTGCATTTTGATGCAGTCGGAGGAGAAATCTTTGCCTCTACTTGCACAAAGTCATTACATTTGCCAGGAGATGTTGGACACTATGATGACTTTAAAATAGCTTTGCAAGTTGCTATCATGGACAATGGTGCATCATTCAATACAATGTAGCTTATGTTCTACATTAATTGACAATCAAACCCTTGGTGTTTTTTTCTAAAACTGGCTAATATTGTTATAGTTGGGATATAATACTGGATTATGGTTAGATTTGTTATTTTGTTCTATGTTATGTTCTACTGTATGTTCATTGACAATACACAAAATCGTTGTTTCGACTGTGCATCCTACTATGCATTCTGAGGTGATACAGAAGTTGGTTTGGGTTCATAACATTGAGGAGAGAGTGCAGCAATGATTTACATCTTAATTTACATTTTCAAATTTGGTGACAATACAGTTCTAGATTATTGTTAGATATTGAAACCAACTTCTGTCTCACCCTGGGATGCGTAGTAGGATGTGCAGTCGAAACTGCGATATTGTGTATCAAACTTTTAGTGTTTTTTAAAACTGTCTGTACAGGCTATTATTAAAGTTGGAATATAAAAAGTATTATGGTTAGAGTTGCATTTAATGTTAGATTTGTGGATTGAAGCTGCTGGTCATACAGGACTGATCATATATAGTTGGTAAAATGGCAAATTATCCCAAAAAGGCAAGAACATCGAGGAGAATGTCAATGCCATAGCTATCACTATAGCGGAGTGGGTTTATCTGTAGCAGGAGTTCTTGGTACCTTTCATCTGAACAAGGTTGATTGGTAACTGGAACTTCCACAACACCATCATCATCAGGATCTAACGGCACAGGGCCATCATAATCAATGCCATATGATTCAAAATCTCCCTAAATTGAGATCATACAAATATAGAGTTAGTGCAATACATTGTGATACATTTGACTGATAGTCAGAACTTACATCAATGATTTCAAAGTTATCCATCTCAGTAAACCCATTTCCTTGCATTCTAATTAGACCCAAGATGTACAACTGCATTGGAGTGTGGCTTCCAGCAGTTCTGATACTATGACGAACGTATCCAGATTTCCAATTTTCCAGGTGCCTATTAAGGCGTGGTACATAAACAAAATGCAGGGCAAACATGTGGGTCTTATTTCCTGGATCAATAATGTGTACACTCTCCAAATAACAAAAGAGACTGTAATAAATATACAAAACACCCTGAAACACATCCCTCCACAATCGTTCAATTCACTGCCAGCAATCATGCTGCCACGACCAGGTCCTCGGAGAGGATGATTAAGCATGTAAAGTGATACATGGACATTTTCACCTCCTTTGTCGGACCTCACCCTTGATGGCAGACCATATTGGGAAACAGCTTGTTCAAACAATTGCACCACAGTCTCTGCATAATTACTTGTACCACATTTCAGGTATACTGGCCATCAATGCCACCATGAACTACAATCCTCCATCTACAATGGGTTTAGGTAATAGTTTGTAAAATCATGATACTGAATACAGGGACACCATTTGCTATCCAACCCCCATATGGGCAAATGATACTCAAATTTCGGAAAGTAGGATTTTTGGTTTCTTACAGAGGACCTGTAACATTATAATGTAGTGACGGACTGGGTCCTAGTGTAATAGTGTATATATATGTGGGCTGCATGTGACTTAGGAAGTTATACGTAGATTGTAATATAGGCCAGAAGTGAATACATGAAACATGGTGTCAGGTGTGAAAGTCTAAGGCCTGTATTCAAAAAGCTCACTCATACTCACACTCAATGAGTTGCTACTCAACCTTAGTAAGGACAAGTGAGCACTTATCAGGTGTCAACTCACACTTGTCCGGTAGAAGACTACACTCACACTCCAAGCATTCAAAGACAATGCTCACCCTTAAGGGCAGTACTATTTTTGAGTGGAGTGTTAGTGAAGGGTATACCTCCCTTCAGACACACTCCAGTGAACAAACGTATAACAATATGGCGGATCGATGGCTACGAAGGTTAGAATTAGTGAACAATATCCCACGAAACGACTTAAATAGGAGGAAAATATATCATTTTGAGTATGACAACTATGATAATGATCAATTTCGGTCCCGATTCAGGTTAACAAAGGATGGATTTCGTGCACTCCTTGACCTAATCAGAGACAAGTTATATGCACCTAATGAGAGAGGAAGACCTATTCCAGCCGATATACAACTTTTGTTGACTCTTCGATTTTATGCTACGGGAACGTTCCAAGTAGCTTGCGGCGACCTGTGTGGCATTTCGCATCAGCAAGTAGAATCATCAAACGTGTATCGGTTGCAATTGCCGGTTTAAAGAATCAATACATTTGTTTTCCTCCTGTCGATATGCTGAATGTTGTCAAATTAGATTTTTGGAGAATTTCTGAATTTCCAGGCGTTGTGGGAGCTATTGATTGTACGCACGTTAAAATACAAGTCCTGGGGGAGTGAACGCGGAACTTTTTAGGAATCGAAAGGGATACTTTTCGATAAATGTGCAAGCTGTCTGTGGACCTAATTTAGAAATTCAGAACATTGTTGCCCGATGGCCAGGTAGTGTGCATGATGCAAGAATTTTTGACAACTGTCGTCTTTGTGCTCAGTTTGAACGAGGTGACATAGATGGCATGTTGCTGGGTGACAGCGGTTATCCGTGCCGCCAATATCTCCTGACACCTCTTGCTGACCCGCAAACTCAACCAGAACGCCGATACAATTGCACATATACGAACACGAAATACAGTAGAAAGAATGTTCGGCATATGGAAGAGAATGTTCCCATGTTTATCAACGTGCCTAAGAACGAAACTAGAAACGACCTTAACTATTATTGTCGCAACCGCCGTTTTGTACAATTTTGTACGCAGCCGAAATGATCCATTTGATGAAGCGGATGATATGCTGCTTGCGGAAGATGAGTTACCTGATGCACATGCTGGTGAACGACGTTTGGGACATGCTGTGCGCGAAAATTTAATACGTCAACATTTCACATAGACAATAAAAACCTACAAAAGTGGATAGCGCAAAATTTGCATACAACGTTGTACGTGCGGAACATACAAGACACACACGTCTATTACTTTCATGAGCTACATAGTTCATGTTACACACTACAGATGTAGCAACAAACCATTCCTCTTTTCAAATAGCCACATTAGCCATAAACAATCTATTGTAGTCATTCGTGATTCTCCAATGAACATAACTTTCCAATTACTACAAGAGATTATGGCTAATTTGAATTTGAAAAGGTCTCGTTTGTTATGATTTGCCCTGTGTATTTATTATAAATATAAAATGATGTAAATGGGCAATGGTTAAGGTAGAAAATCGTCTGAAACGATCTATAGTTCAAAATATCTCCGCACAGTCAGTAAACAAACGTCTGCATTTCAATCTTATCTGCCAAGCGTTTCGTGCATATGCATGCCTATGTCACAACAATCCTTAATCATAAATATCTTTCTTGTTTCATTTTTTTGATCTTGTATTTGGTCTCCGTTGTTGTTCGTCTGTTGTCTTCATTGCCTTTGTCACAGACGTCCAATATTCAAGTTCGGCGTCTAACACCTCCATTTTTCTTTTGTGTTGCATCAACAGATTGGCTTTTTGGAGTTCTAAGAGGTCCATCTCAGCTTCATGCTGTGATGTCTGCATTTTCAAACATTTTTCTTGCGCTGCTGATATTCTTGGCTTTGTTGTGCCTGAGTCCTTCAGAGCCGCCTCAACGACGAGAGATGATTTTTGCTGTTGGTTCTGCGCATTTGTACTCGACGCCTGTGAATTATCACTTTCGTTATCTGTGTTGTCTGTAACGTATAAATACATTTCGACGGCTTATTTTAAAACACCGATCACATATTACAAGCATAATTTATTGTGCACTTCAATTACCTGCGACGTAATTATCGTCTTAAAACGGGTTGCTAAGGCTGTCTATTTGATTGGGAATAATAGCGGCTACGGCCGCATCCTCGTCTTCTTGTTGCACACACGATGGACCACCACCCGTCAATTTTGCACGTCTCTTCTCCTTCGCAAGATTCTTCTTGGCACGGGCCTTCACATTTTTCCAGCATTTCTTTAACTGCTTCGAATCTCTTTTCGTAACACCAGATTGGGAATTAAATTCTTGTGCTAACTCTTCCCACGCGAGGGTTTTTTGTCTAATTGTCTTATAATCGTTCTTCTTATTTTCGATAACATCTTTGGGTTTTCCAACTAGTTCTATTAACAGAGTCTTTTCTAATTCTGAGTAAAACTGCCTAGGTTGCGACATCTTGTACTGCCTGGTTCTCACTAAATTGTGTGTGCCTATACACCAATAGTCAGCTATTTAAATTACGGAGGTCACAGACATTCGTCACATGTACAACACGAGCTATAGTTAGATTGAATGGGTTTAATTAACAAATCAGAGGCCTCGTGGGATTATATAAACATTATATTTTATTTCATCGTTGCTGTACCGATGTATAAACCTTACTTAGAACTGCGAAATTGATGTTCCCATACGTCCTTTACCCTCAATTGTACAATTGTCAACCTTAATTGAAATAGCTGTATTATCCTAATTGTCATTGTACAGTTCTACTTGGATAAGTCATACTCGAGTGCGCTTTATGAATACAAATCGACACGATTTTCCAATGGATGAGCGCACACTCACGCAGTGTAACGTTGCACTCATACTCCACCCTCACTCACATTTCAACCATACTTGAGTCAACCTCACTACAGTCTGACTCAGGTGTGAGTGTGAGTGAGCTTTTTGAATACAGGCCTAAGTTGGGGAGCTATATAATGGCGACAAGCACGAAAACTGCTGTTGGAGAAGTCCGAATGATACAATTAAAACCGCCGGGACAAATGGATTTTGATTCAAATGATTTACCGCAGACCTGGCGACGATGGAAGGAAGAAATGGAGTTATACTTGGAGCTGGCGATGGCCGGGCAACAAGATGCCACTAAGGTGAAACTTGTACTTTATCTTATTGGAAGTCAAGGTCGAGAGATTTACAATACATTAAAATTTGAAGGTAGCGAAGAGGAACGGACAGTAGAGGATATATTAAAGGGCTTGGAAGAATATTGTAGGCCTAGGAAGAACGAGACAGTTGAGCGATATAGATTCTTTACGCGAGTGCAAGGAATCGATGAATCGATAGAGAAGTTCGTAACTGAGTTAAAGATTTTAGCGGCCACATGCAATTTCGAACAGCTTTCAGAGTCCTTGGTGCGTGACCGCATTGTTTGTGGAATTTGTGATGATAATTTAACCCATTAAGTGGCATTGCGCCCCCATGCGCCCTGGAATTGGCAAGTGGGTAAGTGGCATTGCGCCCTCATGCGCCCTGAGCGACGCTGTATTTCTATTGGTCAAATATGAAAAACATGCATTGTTTGTTGCCTAGCAACTGATACCTATAAAATCCCCCGAATCCGCTCTTTCAAATGAGACCTCGTGCAAGCTTGTACAAGTAATATTGTCCAAGTTACGAGTGTTTTAAACCGTGCTTTTGCGAAAAAAATTGAAATATGGCTGAAGCGCTTCGTATGTTCGATAGTAGCGAAGAAGAAGAAGATTTCGAGGGCTTTTTGATTGACGAAACGGTTGAAGAGACACGGCCAATCGCAGCGGGAACATCGGCGATTACGTGGCGAGAAATAGCGGGCGAGTCAGACGAAGAAGAAGAAGATTTTTTCGGTTTTTCGGACATCGAAGTAGAAGAGATTGAAAGCGAGAGCGAGAGTGATAGTGAGATAAGTAGCGACGATTTTATTGATATTTTTGAATGGAAAGATAGTTTAAGTAGTGTAAATGTTGAAGACTTCACTGCCGACTTTGGTCCTTGTCATGGGTTGGGTCAAGATGCTACCCCTAAAGACTTTTTCGACTTGTTTTTCGGTGATGAATTTCTTGACCATGTTGTGCATGCTACTATTTCCTATGCTCGTTCAAAAGGTGACCAAAATTTTTCGACCGACCGCGATGAGATGTCTGCATTTTTTGGATTGAACATTTTAATTGGCATCAACCGCCTACCCAGAATCAGTCTCTACTGGGATTCAGATATATTTTTGGGAAATCCTGGCTTCAAAACTACAATCCCTTTGAGACGGTTTTGGATTTTGAAAAAGTATTTTCACATTTCGGACCCGCGGCAAGAAAACGCAACCGATAAACTTACAAAAATTCGGCCTCTGATTTCAAAGCTCGAAAACGCTTTTCAAAATGCTTATGTACCAGGAAAAAATATTTCGATTGACGAAGGTTTGGTGAAATTCAATGGTCGTTTATCTTTCAAGCAATATATGCCTAAAAAGCCAAACAAATTCGGTATTAAAGTTTGGATGTTAGCCGATTCGGATACCTACTACGTGCCGCGTTTTCAAGTTTACTTAGGTAAACAACAAAATGACAACGAAAATGATGCAGAAAAGGCGCAAGGTCTCGGTTTCAAAGTCATTGATTTTCTGGGAAAACCCTACTTTAATGATTACCGACATTTCTTTTTCGATAATTATTTTTCTTCGATCTCCCTGCTTCAGCATTTGTTGGAAAACAAAACTTACGCATGCTCGACCTTGCGCCACAACAGGAAGAACTTTCCTGTCGATTTTAAAAACATAAAACTCAAGCGAGGTGAAATTAGAACTAGGCAAAATGGTAATTCGGTTTGTTTGGTTTGGCAAGATAAGCGCTTAGTTACGATTCTTTCGACCAATGTCGATCCCGAGCCCCAAGTTTTCGGCCCTTTGGATGAGCGCACTGGAAAAACAAAAGCCGTGCCGGAAGAAGAACGCAAAAAACCCGCCGTCATATCTGTTTACAATAAGTATATGAACGGCGTGGACGTAAACGACCAATATAGGAGCTACTACCCTGTCGGATCTCCATCAAAAAAATGGTGGAAGTATTTGACTTGGTTTTTCGTTAATATTTCAATCGTAAACGCGTATATTCTCCAAAATTTGCAGACTGATCGACGCAATCGGTTGAAACACTTAGAGTTTCGGCTTGCCCTGGCAAGGCAACTTATTTCGACCTATAACGGCTACAAGAGAATTTCTAGCGGTCCGACTAGCCGTAAAAAAGAAACTCCTGTGGGTCAAAATGTCAAAGGCCATAGTTTAGTGAAGTCTTCAGAGCGAAAACGAGCGTGTGTGATGTGTGCGAAAGTTGGAAGAAAGCGTGCGTCGGGTAGAACTTTTGAGAGCGTTTATAAATGTGCTCAATGTAATGTAAACCTTTGTAGATTAAGAGCTTGTTTTAATGAACGGCATGAATAAATTTAGTCTAATCTATAGACAAAATCTTCTATGGTTTTTATCTTGTTTTAAAAAAATAAATAGTTTATATAAAAAACAAAAAACTGGCCTTTTGCCAGGCAGTTGCCGAAAAAGAAGCCCTGAAATGCAGTTCTTCTGAAAGCCGCGTTATAGCACGCTAGTAAAATCTCAGTATTTTTCCCTCAGAGGCTTACTTATTTTACTCAAATTTATATTATATCAATGATGAATTTTCTGTTAATATAATGAGCTCAAAATCAGTGTTAGACAACCTATATTATAGGTCAATTTCGGCTATAAATATTTTTTCTTTGGTGCAAAAAACTATGCCTCAGAAGTCACAAAATAATTTGAAGCAAGTCAAAAATCAACTCTTGAAAAAAACCTTTTTTTGATTGTTTAGCAATGCAAAATCTTTTATATTTAAAATCCAAGCTTTAGAAGTATTTTTAAATATAAAACTCAAAACAAAAATTGTTGAAACATCAAAATTTTAGGGAAATCTGGCTTTTGAATATTCATTACCCAAAAATAGCCAAAAAAAGTTTTAAAAATCAGAGATGTGTAAATTGTGCTGTCTTGAAAATAATTTTTTAATGGATGTTTCCCGTATCATTTAAATAAAAATGAAACCCTATATATTAATCTAAATGTTTCCTAAATTTCAAGAGGTTTTATTAATTTGGCAATGAGTAACAGCCATTTTTGTGAAGGCAGTCATTAATTCCTAAAATCGGCCATATTGTTTGCAACTTAGTGGGGTAGAACTATTGCAACAGTCTGCAACTTAATGAGTTAAGAGAGAATTTACTTAAAGATGCAAATTTAGATCTAAAAAAGTGCATAGAAGCGTGTCGGGCTTCAGAACTCGCAAAGGAAAGGAAAAAAATGATTCGAGGCCATGAAACAGAGCGAATTAATGATGAACTGCACAGTGTAAAATTTAAACGAGGCGAAGGCAAACTTGCAAATAGAGAAGGCAGTGGAGAGAAAGTGGAACAAAGCTTCATAGTATGCAGATACTGCGGTAGAAAGCATGAGCGAGATAAACAAAAGTGCCCCGCGCTTGGTAAAAGGTGTTTAAAGTGTAATAAGTTGAATCATTTTGCCGCACAATGCCTAACAACAAAACGTAGACAATCGAGGGTTAATCAAGTTCAAAGTGATAGCGAATCAGAGTTTGACGAATTAGCGACGGTAGATTACGTACGTATATCGCAAGTGCATGCTGTGTCGCAAGAGTGTTTTTCAAAGAAAGTTTTCGCCACACTGAACGTTGGAAATCGACCCGTGAAATTCCAATTAGATAGTGGTGCAACATGTAACGTCATGCCAGTTAAAGTCCTTCAAAAGTCGGTGGGATCGTGTAAGCTTCAGGAAACAGACAAAATTTTGTCAATGTACAACAAGTCTATGGTTAAGCCAATAGGACAATGTCAGTTATCTGTTATGAATCCAAAAACGGGTAAAAGTTATAAAGTGGATTTTGTTGTCATAGAGGCGTCATTTGTACCGTTGCTGGGAAGCAGCACTGTTCAAGAAATGCATCTTATAGAAGTTAAATATGAAAACATCATGGCAGTGAATGGTAAGACGAAATCTGTTCCAGTGCTAACCAAAGAGTCGTTGGTGAAGGAATTTCCAGAAGTGTTTGTTGGTACTGGAAAATTTGACGGAAAGTACGTGCTAGAAATCGACCCAACTGCTAAGCCTGTCGTTCACCCACCAAGACGAGTTCCTGCAGCACTCAAGAAGCAGCTTAAAGAGGAATTATCTCGACTTGAACGGTTGGGGGTTTTTACCAGTCCAACGTCGTGGGTGTCAAGCATGGTCGTGGTGCGGAAGCCGAACGGCAGTTTATGAATCTGCATAGATCCTAAAGATCTGAACGAAGTGTTGAAAAGAAGTCACTACCCAATCCCGACGATTGACGAAGTATTACCTGAGATTACCCGAGCTAGAGTGTTCAGCACGTTTGATGTACGTAACGGATTCTGGCATGTCGAGTTAGATGATGAGAGTAGCTTTCTTACAACATTTAACACGCCGTTTGGAAGATTTCGGTGGTTGAGATTACCGTTCGGATTGGCATCTGCCCCAGAAGAATTTCAAAGGCGCCAGCAGCAAGTGGTTGAAGGTCTGCCAGGGGTCATATCCATACATGATGATATACTAGTATTTGGAGAAGGTGAAAACGATGAAGAGGCAGTCTTGGATCATGATGAGAAGGTACGCGCACTCATGCAAAGATGTCGCGAGCGTAACGTTAAATTGAATAAAGAGAAAGTAAGATTTAAAGGAAAAGAAGTGCCCTTTATTGGACATTTACTAACGGACGGAGGTTTGAAGCCTGATCCTGAAAAGGTTAAAGCCATTCTAGAGATGCCAAAACCCAAGGATGTTGCTGGTGTGCGCCGACTGGTGGGGTTCGTGAATTACCTCAGTAAATTTTTGTCTATGTTGAGCGACGTCTGCGAGCCCTTGAGGAAGTTAACTGTCAAAGATGCAGAGTGGACCTGGTTAGACACGCATGATCAGGCCTGTGCGAAGATCAAAGAGCTGGTAACCAAAGCGCCTGTGCTGAAATATTATGAGGCGGAGAAAGAGTTAACTGTACAGAGTGACGCTTCGGGAACAGGACTTGGAGCTGTTTTGATACAAGATGGTCAACCCATAGCCTATGCAAGTCGTGTATTATCCGAAGCAAAGAAGAAATATGCTCAGATTGAAAAAGAGCTGTTGGCGGTGGTGTATGGTCTAGAGAAGTTTCATCAATATACGTATGGGCGGACGGTGACTGTGCAATCGGATCATAAGCCCTTGGAGGTGATTGTAAAAAAAGAACTTCACAAAACGCATAAGCGATTGCAGCGGATGCTGTTACGGGTTTAACTCTATGATGTGAGAATAGTTTACCGAAGGGGAAAACAAATGGAGTTAGCCGATACTCTAAGCAGAGCGCATGGTTCACCAGAAGAGGCGACAGCGTTTGAGCGAGAAGTGGAGACAGTCAACATGACAGAATACTTGTCAATCTCAGCGGCCAGAGTTGATGATATTAAAGCTCATACAGTAGACGACAGCGAGCTGCAAAAGGTGATAGAAGTGGTAAGGAACGGTTGGCCAGAGAAAAAGAAGCAGTTACCAGTACAGGTGACGCCTTATTGGTCGATGCGAGACGAATTGTCTACCCAAGATGGGCTGCTGTTTCGGGGACAACGAGTGGTCGTACCAAAGAGTTTGCGCCAAGAAATGAACAAACGTCTTCATTCAGCGCATATGGGGATCGAGAGCTGTTTACGAAGAGCGAGAGAGTGCCTTTATTGGCCTGGAATGAACAGCGAAGTGAAAGCATATGTCCAACAGTGCGAGACTTGTCGGGCGTTCGATAGTAAACAGTCAAAAGAGCCGCTGCATCCCCATGATCCTCCGGAAAGACCATGGTCTAAAGTGGGAGTGGATATCTTCACGTTCAATGGTCGTGATTATCTGCTGACGGTTGACTACTTTTCAAGCTATTGGGAAATTGATCTGTTGGAGGGTACGAAATCGAAGGCCGTGATACGTAAGCTGAAAGCCCAGTTTGCAAGATTTGGGATTCCAGACGTAGTGATGACGGATAATGGACCTCAGCTTTCGTCTAAAGAGTTCGAGAACTTTGGAAAATTGTGGAAGTTCGAGCATGTCACATCATCTCCAAGATACCCGCAGAGCAACGGTAAAGTTGAGAGGGCAATTCGGGATGCTAAACAGTTGATGAAAAAAGCGAAGAAAACTGGGAGTGATCCATATCTGGCGTTGTTAGATTATCGTAATACTCCCACTCAGTCGCTGGGAAGCAGCCCAGTGCAACGTTTGATGAGCAGACGCACAAAGTCGCTTTTACCAACCACCAAGGCACTGTTACGCCCGAAAGTAGTCAATAACGTAATAAAGAAGATCAAGGCACGTCAATTGAGGGCAAAGAAGTATTATGATCGAGGTACGAGAGGTTTAACCGAGCTGAAACGAGGGGAAACAGTGAGAATAGTTCCGGCAAGCCAAGAGAGAACTGGAGCTCAGAAGGCAAAAATACAGCGCAAGGTTGGAATTCGCTCGTATGAGGTGGTCACTGAGGGTGGTAAGGTGTATTGTAGAAATCGACGGCATCTCCGAAAGAACCTCTGATGGGTCGCGAAGTAGATGTTCGGGGGCAAGACGATCAAGAACCACTGATTGTGACCGGGCAGTGCCGTCCGTTGGAGGGCTTGGACAGAGTTGAACCAAGACAAGACCGGGCAGAGGAGGTCATGCGAAGAACACGCTCGGGAAGAAGTATTAAACTGCCAGAACGGTTTAGAGATTTCGAAATGAACTGAACTAGGAATCAACAAAGAAACGTTACGGTTTTGTTTTAGTTTAAAAAAAAACAAAAAAAAAACTAACAACTTGTATAGAACAAAGGATGTAACATTATAATGTAGTGACGGACTGGGTCCTAGTGTAATAGTGTATATATATGTGGGCTGCATGTGACTTAGGGAGTTATATGTAGATCGTAATATAGGCCAGAAGTGAATACATGAAACAGGACCCCTCAGGAATCATTACCATGATGGTAGGAAATCCTAGTTTTTTTACTGTTACCCGATGGAGTTGACCATAGGAATCAGCATGCAGGTAAAAAAATTACCTGTATGATACCGTTATCTATAGAGCCATAGGGAGGGGGTACGTCGTCAGGTCAAATAATAATAATAGTCTCCTATGTCACTTCTCATTTGATTCATTACCTACCTAATGAGTTTGTGGTTTCCATCAATATGCCATAATGACAGAGGACCCCTCACGCTGTAAACTGCTCTTGGGGTTATCAACAACCACCTCATCGCCACACCTTCAGGATCGGTACGATGCATCGCCTCTCGCACCCTCGACTGTGTCACGTTAACGGACCTTGCCTTAAGTTGGTAGTATACTCGTCGATAACCAGCATTTGGGAACTCTGCTTGTACTCCTCTAACATGTTCGTCTAATTCACAATCTCTCAAAACATCTCCATGTCTGACTGTGATGTCATATTCTCGTAGCCACCTTTTTATTGTGCATGTGCAATATCCGTTAATGAGATATCATATTCTAACATATACACCAACTGTTCCCTGGGAATTACAAACTTCGGTCTCCCTACTGCACTACTTGTGGATTCTACCGTGTTAACAAAATTTCTCGTATTTTCAAAATAAGAATTCAACATAAGCATTGCTGTTGTAATGCTGTCACGAACTCCCGTAAATCGATCACCAATGCGAACTACGTGGCCAAGAATCTGTTCTAACCGAAACATAACAAAGTCGGCCACATGTTCGTCCGGATTAGCCTCTAATCTTCTCCCAAGGTCAAGAAGAGAATGCCTCAGTCCTGTATTCAGTCTCTCTAGATCAAGATCCTCGTCCGCCATTTTCCATGATGGAAAACGACAAGGTTGCAAAACGTTACGCCAAAAGACTATACTTCATGTTATAGATATATATTGAATCGAACCCGTGGGCTCATTTTGAAGTTCGCAATGCACTATCGACGAATTCACTGTATCGATGAATTCGTACAGATGATTCATTTACACGTTCGATGAATACAAACATGACATTTACAAATCTTCGATGAATTCGCAGTATTCACACAGTTTCTTTGGCAAATTCATATATACTAACCATAGACATCGACAAATTTACATATATGGTATTTTGACCCCGATAAAGCGCCATAGACGTTCGACATGTCCCCTTTCTCTAGTGACACAAAGCATTTAGCATTTTATAAGTTGCATTAAATCCCCACGGGCTGAAATTCGTGAACATGGCATTCAAATTTTAACAATGAGTGATTTCAATAGTTTTCGTTTTTTTTTGGACACCCTGTAGTTCAAAATGTGCAGAGTGCTAATTTCAGTGTATGATAGGATGCTAAAAGTATACCTGTATTTGAATGTTTGCATGAATTAACTGGTTGTAGAGTACATAATGATCAGAATTTTCAAAACAAAAGCTTTTGTTGGGTTTTCCCCGGGAGACATTTTTGCAAATATTTTAAGTATTTTGTAACATAAACAACAAAGTATACTTTAGTACTAAAACATTATAGATTAGTTTTTGAGAGAAGGGCAATGAAAAAAGGTTATTTAGCAAGGGACATGAACTCAGACGTCTGACGTCGGTAACATTTAATGTAAACAAAGCCCATAAATAGTACCAAATTAAAATAATTTGAAATTAGGATAGTCTTTGGTGCTGGGTGTGAATATCAGAAATTCTAAAAAAAAACTTTTGAAGTTATGTTTATTTAAATTCAGCGCATTTTTTGCCAGCAATCGGCAAAGAATATTTACTGTAAAAGACATTTTCAAAGCTTCACATGGTACAGTGACACATCCATGCTGTTTGATTTATGACAGGTACACTTTTTTCTCGCTTCCCGACCCAGCTAACCCAAGCTAAACATAAATAGGTAATATAAATACATAAGAGATGCCTGTGCAGGAGGCTAAGAAACACAGAAACATAGAAACACAGAAATATGTTATGAGTTAGGTAAGGGACAAAACTCATATTCATGTTGTAGGGCCAGTTTCCTCTTCTGAGGGCGAAACAAGCTCGATCATTGTTTGTTGAACTGCATTTCACATCTTCAATTTGTAGTTTAACACCTTCGACATGCAGTTTCATGTCTTCTCCTTAATAAGGCACATCCACAAATCACATTTCATTTTGTTGAGTCGTCCATCATAAATTTGTGTCACGTTTCAATTAATTGTGTCACTACATTCATATTTCGCGCACAGCAGTTTTATTTCGTTGTTTTGAATCTCATGATGCATCATGGCCAGCGGATCTGTCCTTTTAGAAATTGTATGTACTTCATGTCCAATATTCCTATGATAATTAGCCTTCTTCCTGAAAATGGCGGAAAAGCTAAATGTTACCCATGAGGTATCTGTGTTAAGAGAAGCGATCAAGCAGATTCAGGGCTCAAGTCCGTCTACATCAAGCACAAATTCGCACACAAATGCCATAACACAAGGTTCTATAACACCAAGTCCTGCTATGACACCAAGTTCTGCTATAACAACATCAGGACCTGATCCAGGTCAGAGTCAGAAACATATAATCAACCAATTAAGAGAAATTTTCAGTAAGTGCAAAATTATCAACTACAAAGAAAATAAAAGAATATTGTCATTACGTTTTTCACCGACCGCTCACATAAAAGTTGCAATCTTTTATGATATTTTACATAACATTTAACAATACCTTACTAAATGTCTCAAAATGTAATCAATAAAATCACATTTTATTACTTGCAAAAGTCACTTAGACTTAAAAAATCTGTTTAAATTTCATCCTGGCAGCTAAAATCTGTGTAAATTGGGATTGAAACCTTATTTACTGTTATGCACATGAAGTTGAAGCATAGAGTATTAAAAAATTAGATTTCAATATTAATTTTCGGAAATATTAATATGAGATTTAAAGCAGATGAAGGGTAGTAAACTAAATTTGCTTCTCAAAAGAAGTTGCTATTAAAGTAAAAGGCAAAGTAATCTAATCTAGGATGTAACATCATTCCACATTCTCTAGGTACATAAACCAAATTAACGCCCCCCCCCCCTCCCCTTTTAAGGGACTGAAGCCTTTCTAAAAGATAAGGAATGGGGATAAGATATCTCTTAAAGTGATGAGTGGACTAAAATAAAAAAGTGGGCATAAGCAAAAGTTCATGGCTTATGGTTAACCTAAATATGCTCAATACATTTTCTTTTATCCAAGCCTTTCCCAGTCTTCGTGGTGGGGGCAAAAGATTACTTCTTCAAGACCTTCAAGACCAGCTAAAAGGCTTTTTGGCTAAAAGCAATCAGAACATTACCTCTTCCCTAACACATTTATCAGCCCTCAAAGAATTTATTGTTTTCCCTGACAAGAATACGGGTTTTGCAAAGTTGAAGTCAGTTTTAGAAACTGAATACTCAAAATTGAGATCACAAGATGGTGCATTTGAGCTAATGCGTGGTCAACAATATACTCATGGCCCATGAAAGATCCTTTATCAGTTGAAAAAGTCACTGCATCACTTAGCCCAACTAGCCCATTGACTGAATGTGGAACATGCAAAATTCCAATATTTGCTTTATGTCAGCATTCTAAAGAGTTTTCTTCTATTAATATTGATAGTGGCATTGAAAATCTTGACGATATGTCAGAGAAAAGTGATCCTGAAGTTGTATTAGAACAATATGATACCAATTTGGAATGAGGAAAGTTTATCTTTAGAAGATTCAATTGAATAATTTGTAAATGAAAATGAATTGTCTGGTGAGGAAAACATACTTGTTGATCATGAGACATTGTGAATGAATGTTGTTAAATTTCATAAAAGATCTCTTACAAAACCAGAAATCCTACGAAAAGAACTTGTGTCTCCTTTAACGATGGAAGGGTCTTCATGGGGGTGCAATGAAGGTGGAGTTTTTTTCACTTGTTCAAAATGAGGTTAAGGCTCAATTGTTTGAAGACATTGAGCAGAATATGGTTCCGATCAAAGACGCTACAAAAGGCATGTTGTTTCAGCTAACTGGCATAATTGTAAGCCATGCATTATTTCAAAGAAGTTCAATTGGCTTTCCTTTCCTGGCTCCACATATTTACTCCTACATAGTAGGTGAAGAAGAAGATGAAACCACATCTATAATGAAGAAGCTAATAGATCAGACTCTCTAGCTAGAGGTAGCTTTATATTTTTGTGGATATGTCGATACGCAATGAATGGTTTATTTTAAGAACGAGGCATGCAGTTTAAATAGATCAGATTCTCAAGCTAGAGCTAGCGTTTTATTTAAGTCGATACGCAGATACGTGATGAACAGCTTATTTTAAGAACGTGAGATACAGTTATTTTAAGAACGAGGCATGCAGTTAGTTTAAATAGATCAGATTCTCAAGCTAGAGGTAGCTTTATATTTTAGTGGATACACAGATATGTGGATACCCAGTGAACAGCTTAATTTAAGAATGAGGCATACAGTTAGTTTAAATAGATCAGATTCTCAAACTAGAGGTGGCTTTATATTTTTGTGGATTTGCAGATACCTGTATACGCAGTGAATGGTTTATTTTAAGGAGGCATAATGTTAT